TCCACCAATTTATAAAAACTTCATAAAACGTTTTAAGTCGTTTTCTTAATTTATTAAGACTTAAAATACTTTTAAAATTAAAAATATATATATGCATATTTCAAGAAAAATATTTGTAAATGCACAATTATATATATATATATATATATATATATATATATATATATATATATACTTACTTTTCTCACACATTTCGTATTCATTGTTTTTTGACATTTCGTATCCACCGTTTCTAGTTTCTTAGTTTCTTCGTTTGTTGTTTTTGTGTAACCTAAGTAGTAGACACGGTATCTTTTTGACATTATAGAATTTCCCTTAAAAGATATAATTTAAGTCTTAAACTACACAATAAACTTAATGAAAATTTTTATAATGCCAAAAATGCTATGTGCGTGCTAATGTAAATAGAAAGTGGCAATGGTTAGTTTTGTTTGTGAATAGAATGATAGTTGTTTACAAAATATCACCATTTCTTTAAAAAAAAAATATCACCATCACTTTTCTTTTTATAGTAGTTGCTATAGTGTCTTTTCAATATTGTACAATTTTCTTCTTCTCACAATCTCATGTTAACTTATTTGTATATTGATAACTTAATGATTAAAAAAAAAAACTGGGCAAGTGACCTACAATAAAATGTAAAGACGGTATGAATGAGTGATATGAAAACAAGATTCATGGTAGCTATGACCTTATCAGTTTTGAAGTAGCTTAATTAATAACAAATATATACATGATTATAAATATTACAGTACAAATTCTTTATCACAACTTAGAAAAAAAGTGTCACTTGACCTTACAATCTTATCCCTTTCCTTCGGGATAATTTCATTCCTATTAAACTTCATGACAATTCCATGATTTGGTTGAAGGGAATTATCCCTCCAACCATTGAATTGCAATTCTTAGGGTCCCTTTAAGAATTGCAATTCCATAGTTTGTGAAATTGTAATTTTAAAGTGAATTATTATTTTTCTCTTGTTATATTGTATATTATTATTATTATTATTATTATTATTATTATTATTATTATTATTATTATTAAATTATTAAATGACATTTTAGTGTTTTCAAAAAAAAAATAAAATGATATTTTAGTCTTTACTTCCTTCTTTCTTTTCATTCTCAATCATTTTCTTTCTATCTATCAATATAATTTGAATTCTCATCTTATTTTTCTCACAAAATTATAATTTATTTCTCCCAAATTCCTTTCTCTCCATCAAACTCCTCTCTTATTGGCCAATTAAAATTCATGTTTACACACTGACAATGTGAAACACATAGTTCCCCAATCCTTACAAAGTGGCTGTGATTGGATTAATTGCGCTTCATATATAAAAGTCTAAATCCGAATTGTGATTAATAAATTATGTTTCACTTTCACCCAAGAAAATAAAAAAAGACTGCAATGAATTTAAGCAATATATATTTTAAATTAGTGCTCGAAGCCCGATAATATATATATCTTATCTAATAAAAGTCAATCAACATGAAAGTTGGTCTACGCAAGCCTCCTTGAAACATTGTATATATTCCTGGCTACTCACTTCATCGTCTTCAAGAAAACACAGAATAGTTTGCATACGGCTATGGCTTCTTCTCTCTCCGCCATAGTTATCTCCTTCTTATTCATATCCCTAACCTCTTTCCCGCCGTGGGTTCTTTCTGTTTCGTTTCAAGATCAATTCTACAAATGCATTTCTCTTAATTCCGATGCCCCCATCCCATTCTCCGCAGCTTTCTTCTCCCCTACCACAAACGCTTCATCGTTCAACTCCGTTCTCCAATCCACCGCCCAGAATCTCCGCTTCCTGGTGCCCTCGGCGGCGAAGCCGCTGCTCATCTTCACCCCGCTAGTTGAATCCCACGTTCAGGCCGCCGTCATTTGCACTAAAGAAGCCGGAGTTCAGCTCAGAGTCCGCAGCGGCGGCCATGACTACGAAGGGATATCATACACGTCGGGGATGAAATCTCCGGCGCCGTTCGTCTTGATCGATTTGGCGAAGCTCCGGGGAGTTAAGGTTGATGTTGCGGATAACAGCGCTTGGGTTCAGGCCGGGGCCACCATCGGGGAAGTGTATTACAGAATCGCGCAGAAAAGCAAGGTTCTTGGTTTTCCGGCGGGGCTTTGCACCAGCTTGGGAATCGGAGGGCACATAACCGGCGGCGCGTATGGTCCCATGATGAGAAGGTACGGCCTCGGAGCGGACAACGTTGTCGACGCGCGTATTGTCGACGCCACGGGGAGGGTTCTAGACAGAGCCGCAATGGGGGAAGACTTTTTCTGGGCAATCAGAGGCGGCGGCGGCGGGAGCTTCGGGATTCTACTCGCCTGGAAAATCAACCTCGTACCAGTTCCATCGACGGTGACGGTTTTCAGCGTCCCAAGGACGTTAGAACAAAACGCAACGACAATTCTCTACAAATGGCAGAAAGTCGCCGCCGATAAGCTCGACGAAGACCTCTTCATCAGAGTTCTCATCAGTACGGCGAATTCAACCGCCGTGAAGGGCAAAAGAACCGTACAAACCACCTACAACGCCCTATTTCTCGGGAAAACCGAAAGGCTAATCCAAATCATGGATAAGAGCTTCCCTGAACTGGGATTAACCCCAAAAGACTGCTCCGAGATGAGCTGGATAGAATCGGTGATATACATCGCCGGATATCCAAGAACCACCCCGCCGGAGTTTCTCCTCCAGGGGAAACCATTATTTCCGAAGACAAATTTCAAAGCCAAATCAGATTTCATAAGGAAACCCATCCCGGAAAAGGGTCTCCAGGGACTGTGGAAGATTTTCCTGGAAGAGGACTCGCCGTTCATGATCTGGAATCCGTACGGCGGAATGATGGCGAAGATTCCAGAATCCGCCATTCCATTCCCTCACCGGAAAGGGGTGATATGCAAAATCCAGTACTTAACGGCGTGGCAAATGGAAGGGGAGAAGCAGAAACACGTTGATTGGATAAGGGGACTGTACGATTACATGGGCGCTTATGCTTCCACGTCCCCCAGAGAAGCTTATGTGAATTACAGGGATTTGGACCTCGGAATGAACAACAATGGCGGAAACACGAGTTTCTTCCGGTCTATTGTTTGGGGTAAAAAGTATTTCAAGAAAAATTTTGAGAGACTTGTTATTGTGAAGACGAAGGTTGACCCTGATAACTTCTTCTGGCATGAACAGAGCATCCCTGTTCTTCCCTTTAAAGGAAATGGAGATGGTGGTAAAACCTTGTTTCATTGAAGTTGATTGATACCATATTGCCCAGAAAATTCATTTCCCAGTGAATTTCTTTGTACTCCCATCGTCAAATCATCAATTTCTTTCCTCTTTTACAGTGAGTAATTTGGTTTTCATTTTTTCAAATGATTTTTGTTTATGACAGTGATTTCAATTTTCAATGACTAAAGTCCAGGTCTTCCAATTACACGCAGTGGTCAGTGGTGACATCAGAATTCTATTAAACAGGTCCCACATGTTCTGGAAAAATAAAAGGTCAAAAGTTAGGTTGCAAAACATACTTGTGTAATCACCATACAAAAATATCTAAGACTGGTGCAACCCTTCCCAAATTGATGATACCGTTAGCTTAGTAATCACAAATTCACAATCTTACAAATTTGACTTTTAATATGAGTAGTGTATTGACCTTCTTGATTTGTGGTGGTTAACTATGAATAATCGGCTGATTTACCTTATGATTCTTTGTCAGCAAAGATTACAAGGAGAGATTTACCCAGCCCACCTACGAATAGTGATAATGAATTTTCACGATACTAAAAAAAGAAAAATAATTTAGAGTAAATACTCAAAATGGTCTCTCGATTATAGCTAAATTCACAAATTGGTCATTGACTTTCATTTTCAACCAATTAAGTCCTTAATTTTGTAATTTTAACACAATTTGGTCCTCTGTCTATTTGACAATTTGTTGACTGTGATTTTTGAGGATATATATGTAATTTCATGGTTCATCGTCGGTTTTTTAAGGTTTTGGTTGCATTTCCAAATCGCACTGTTACATTTTAATGCACTGCCGAAGGCAATCTACCAAATCCGGTCACCTTTCTTCATCCTCCCTTAGGATTCAATGTAGTTGAGTTCGTACCAAAGCGAAGAAGACGACGTGTTTCCGAACAAGTGCAATGTCATCCTGGAGTCCTCCACGTGCTCCGACGAGAGCTGAAGGTTCTTCTGGAGATCGTCGATCACGGTCAACAAACGGTCAAATAGATGGAAGACCAAATCGTGTCAAAATTACAAAGTTAAGGACTTAATTGGTTGAAATTGAAAGTTGAGGACCAATTTGTGAATTTAGCTATAGTCGAGGGACCATTTTGAGTATTTACTCAATAATTTAGGACCATGTGGTCAAATAGCATTGAGATTCCCATGAAACTCCATGGAATTCAACTTTAAACCAAACATGTTCTAAGCTTGTTGAAGCAAGATTTACACGACATGGCAAATGTTACCCAGCCCACCCTCGAATAGTGATACTGGGTTCCACAACACTCAAAAAAATAGAAGAAAAAAAAAAAATCAGGACCTTGTGGTCAAGTAGCATCGAGATTCCCATGGAATTCAACTTTAAACCAAACATGTTCTAAGCTTGTTGAAGCAATCTTGCTTTAGGAAGAAAGACTCAATACAAACTTATATAGAGTTAATACCATCTGAGGTCCTCTGAGTATAGTGGTTTTGCCACGTTTAGTCCTAAACTTTCAAAGTGACCATCTGTGGTCCTTCGATTTTCAAATTTAACCATTCGTGGTCCAAGTTAACCACCCATGGTCCTTCAACTATTAAATTTTAACCTACCATGGTCCTTTTCAAAAGGACCACGGCTGGTTACATTTCAAAACTTGAAGGACCATATGTGGTTAATTTGGACCATGAATGGTTAAATTTGAAAATCGAATGACCACAGATGGTCAATTTGAAAGTTTAAGACTAAACGTGGCAAAACCACTATACTCGGAGGACCTCAGATGGTATTAACTCAACTTATATATTTCATTCTATATAGCACAATGCAACTGTTTGATTAACACTTTCTACATCAAAAGAAAAATGTCAAGTCAAGGTAGATATATAGAAGCATTGGTCTTAGTTGTACACAATGAGATTTTTATACTATGAAGGAGAGCTGTCCTGCAATGGCATTCCCCATTCCCCATTCCCTTATAATATGAACATTTTTTGGTGGTCAACTTCGCCGAAGAGAAGCCAACCTCTTCTCAAGATCCTCAACATCAGCGGCCTGAGAACTGCACATATTCATCGTTTAAATAAAGGAAATAGTTAAGAGACATATAGATATATACATTAAAAACTGGAGGAGATATAGGATAGGCAGTATAAAACTATTGATCATACCTAGGAGGAGCAACATTTTCGACTTTCTTTGATGCAATACGACCTTTTGGGGCTGAAGATAACTGTTGAAAGTTAAGACGTGATGATTAGAAAGCGAGGAACACCAGCAAATAGAGAAAAATATATCATTGAGTTGCTCGATAAACAAACCTGTGATGCAATGTCCACACCGATCTCATCGAGCACCTGGTTTGTAAGCTCCTCTGTTTCTTCCTCGGCTTCGTCTTTATCCAAGGTTTCGTCAATAGACTCTGACATCATCTCAATCTGGGAAGAACCACCAGAAACTCAAATCAGTTATATGTTATTGAGATAGACAAGAAGGTGGATAAGGTATAAATATTATTACCGTCATGTCCAGCTGAGCTGACTCTTTCTGGAATTCTTTGATCACTTTAGCTTGTTTTACAGGTGCCATTTGCTTGATGAGGAAAAAAAAAATGGGAAATTGATCAAATTTAATATGAATGGTGTGATAAACAGAATCAGTTAACTGCCATTATAAAGCTCGCAACTTTGATTTTGAAAATCCTTTATTGATTTCCAGGGTACCTTGTTCATGGCTGTCATTGCTTTGGTGGCGCCTTTCATTCCAGTAGAAATTGATGTGCTGGCGTATAGTGCCTGTAAAAAAAAAAAAAAAACGAAGGATTATATATGTCGAGGACCTTAAAGTTACAATCTTTGAAGCATAAACCAAAACGAAGAATTATATATGTCTAGGATCTTTAATGTTACATTCTTCGAAGCATAAACCAAATCATAGTAAGCAAAAAGACTAACCTGTGTGTGAGTTGCTACGCCCCTGATCTGAGCACGACTTCCCTGCAAATTTACGATTTGTTGCCGCAGCCTAACAAGTTGACGAGCTAAAATTTTGGTGGCAGCCTGATTAGAATAGAAAGAATTCATGTTTCATCGAGAAGTATTTGAGGAAATTAAAGCAATAATAGGATTTTCAATGATTCTAGTTTCTTTCGTGATTTGGTTACTCCAAAATACGGAAAATCCACTTTAATGTGCTCACTTATAGAACATAAACCTATCTTATTATATGAAATGTATGCACAAACTTGCCTCATTCCCAGTTTTAGCTGTTTTCTTGATCTCTGCCATTAATTTCTTTTCCTGTAAGCAAATGTAGTAATGGAAATGTTGATTAAACAGAGGTTTAGCCAAGGACTACTTAAATCAAGAATACTCGGGGAAATATATAGTTAATAGCCTATAATTCACTATTTCATAAACAAGGAATGCCATTCCAGTCATTCAAAAGTGCTGGGATAACAACTTACTTCCATTTCTAGAGAGGCAATTTCACGCTCGATGCCTATAACAATACATAAATAAATGTTAGCAGTTTAGAATATACAAATAGAACCAATTTTGGTAACGGGACAGACAAACATAATTGATAATTCTCTTTTTTTTTTCCACAACCACCTAACCTGATACCACTATGTCTTGATTCTTGGAACATTAATTTAAACATAGGAAAAAAAAAAAAACATGTTAGCTAGTAATGAATAGTCTCTCCCGATTTTGCACACCTCTTTCAACTCTAAATACAGATTTCCACGATCACATTCCGAGGTGAAATGTTAACCACATTCAGTTTCCAATAAAAGATATCCTGGATACTTGATCCCCTACTGAAATCCAATTCAGGATAATCTCTAATAACACTCCATCACAACTACCCCTCAAACATCTGAAACTTCTATATCTAGAAAGTCACAAACAGGTGAAATCCCCGGTAACTAAAAGATCAAATTTGGGGATTGCCCCCAGCCAAGTTGGTCAGACCGCTATTGGTTTGGTAACCACGAGATTCAAGTTCGACTCCCAGTTGGAGCGGCCAGCCAGCCCTTATTGGTTTGTGCCCGTCAGCTATAGGCATCCTAGGCTAATTTAGCTTCTCGTGGTCATTTAACGGCTAAGGTCACAAGGTCGGGGTTTACCTAGTGCAATAGTGGTTGCAGATTCACTGTCACCCAAATTAAAAAGATCAAATTTTCTAACACTTCCAAACCGATCTACAAACTAATTACTGACTTCCGGTGGGGCATTTTCTTTAAAAATTCAGACTTTACTCAATTTCAGCTTCTTTTTTCTTTCTAAACAAAAGGAAAACTACTTCCAATCAATCAAATGAATTTAACATCAATGGGAGTACCTCGAGTGGCAACGGCCATTTCCCTTTTGCTGGATCGTAGCGCATCTGCGGATAACATCCATCAAAACTCACCCATTGTCAGCAATAAAATTGAAGCGTGAACCAAAAATAAAAATGTCAGAATGAGAATCCGAACTGCAGAAACAAAAATGGCGAAAAGCTGGTACCTTTGGGTGAAGTTTTCTTCTTGAAGATGTTCATTTTCGAAATCATTTTGGAAACCCTAAAGTTAGTGATCAGATAAGGAAAATGGGGCTTTCTTTCTATGGGAAAGAATTTTGCTCAGAGTATGGCGAGTAAGGAAGCGGCTCCCCGTTCCCAAGGCCAAGTGTTAAAGAGGAGAGAGAGAGCGTGTGATGGGAGATTAATCCAACGGCTAGCGACCGCTTAACAAGTAGCCGTTGTATGTGTCTTTTGACTAAACTACCCTTAACAACGTCTCTTTCTAATCTAGTCTTAGTTTAGTCCAATCCAGAGATAAGAAAAAAATTTAAGAAATAGGGTCAAAATAATCTCTAAACTTCATATGTAAAGTTAATTAAATTTTTAGCTTTAAAAATTGCATGTTTTTTTTATATTAAAATTAAAAATTGATTATTGACATGTAATAACAGTTCACTGTAATTCTTAGGAGATTCCAACAAATGCTCGGGTGATTAGATTTACACTTCATTTTACATGAAAAAAAATCATATGTTTCATTAAACAATATATATATATATATATATATATATATATATATATATATATATATTAAAAAAACTAAAAAAAAAAATAGATATGCTACAAGCCACAAGCCCACAGCCATTATTACAGTAATGAAGCTTTTGTTGACCAAATTTAATTAAGACTGATTAATGTAACCCATGAGGCCATAACCATTATTACAGTAATCTACACAGCTAATATTTGTGCATTCTGACTAAACTCGCATTGTGACCTAAAAACTTGTATAGATTATTCATAACTAATTAAAATTTTGTGATTACTAAACGAATAATTTGACCAACTTAGTTAAAATTGCTCCGTTAAAATTAACTTTAACAACTAACTTTTTGAACATTATAACAATTTAACATCGCTTGGAAATCACACAAATTAGATGTCAAGTGAATGCAAATTTCGTGCAGGAAAGGTGAGCAGTATTATATTATTTATCTATATGAACAGTACTATATTACTATATTTTGATTTTAGATCAAATTAAATATACAATTCTTGATCTCTTTTTACATCGAGAAAGTAGGGTTTGTAAAAAAGAAAATGGAAAATGTAATTAACATATGTAACATGGGTTTTCAAAAAATAAAAAACAAAAACAAAAACAAGACATATGTAACATGGAAATTCACTAAATAGAGGTTTTAACCTGGAATAAATTTAGAAAGTTGTGTGATAGTTAGAATTGAGTGCTCAAATTAAAATGGCAATAAGTTCCTTCCATCAAATTAATGTTGTAAAAAACTAGCTAAAATGACATTAAAAGCAATCATTTTATGATATAATTTTGACTTTTCATGCAGGTTCCACTTATGATTTGGATTGGGTCAACATGGATTAAGGTTTAGAGGTGCAAATCAAAATTCAAAATGAACTCCAAAAGCTAATTACGTTGGTGAGTTAATACAACTTAATTGTGATTAATTCTAATTTATCTGATAATGAACTTTCTAACATAAGATATTTAATTTTGAATGTCATGAATGCTAATTAATTTCTAATTCACTATAAATACCTTTATGTTGGACAATTGGTAAAATAGTTAGCTTATCAGTCAATTTTGGTTTATTTGATCACCATTAATTGTTTGACTTTGTTAAAAGATCAATATAAGTGTTTGGTTAATTAGTTTTTTGTAACTTTAAAATGCTAAAATTCGAAAAGCTACTCAAAGCAACTTTTTCAATAAATTTTTGAGAAAAAAATTATAACAAACAGCTATCAGCTAACAGTTAATTTATCAAACACATTTCTACAATCAATTAATGTTATCAACTACTTATACCATCTAATTAACCCAATCAGCATAACGAATAGTATTCACAAATTATGCCGTGGAAACATGTTCACCATGCTTTGTGAACACGTTCCAAAACGGCGTCGTTTTTACGGAAAATAAAATAAAATTTAGTTAATATGCTGTTAACAGCGTTTTGCATTCTATGTTCAGATTATGAATTTACATTTATTAAATTATGAATTTTCTGTTATTGAGATTATGAATTTACAGTTATGTAATTATGAATTTTCTGTAAATTCATAATCTCATAACAGAAAATCCATAATCTCATAAAAGAAAATTCATAATTTCATAACTGCACATTCATAAATTCATGTCTACACATCCATAATTTATGAGTGTTAAAAAAGTTTGTGCAAAGAAGAAGTGAAACCGCGAAATGTGAAAATGAAAAAAAAAAAAATCACGCTGTTAAAAAAAAAAAAAAAAAATTGGTGGAAGATAACGGTGTCATTTACAGGCACCGTTACTATTTGGGACCGTATTCACCATGAATGGTGGACACGGTTTCATGACATAACGATTGGTATTTGCAGTGATGGGCCAAAAATAATTCTGCCCAATTATTATCCTTTAATGGGGTGTCGTTAATGGCCTTACTAACCTTGGAGTCTGTACCGAGCTCGCAGTGCATTAATGATAACGTTGTCGGCCTAATGTTCTAATGCTAATCTCCACCTTGTCGGCCTGGCTTGGCTTTATATCATTTGGCTTATTCAACATTCTTAGCCACTGCACCCCACGGTATGTAAATTAGGGCCGGCAATGGGTCGGGTGTGGGTCGGAAAGGACTACATCCATCACCCGACCTACTTAAATTTGTCTTTATTTACCTTCACTTTCAATTCGTATCAAGTGGACTTTTTCAAAACCTACCCTCACCCCTACCAATAGTTATGTTGTGCAACCGAGTGCACCATGCGCATGGTGCATATGATGCAAAACAACGTCGTTTTGACTAAAAACGCGCGTCCCACTTAAAAAGAAAAAAATTCAGGTTCGATTCTCAGCAATAGCATTATTGTGGATATATAGTTATGAATTTCTGGATATATAGTTATGGATTTCTGGATATATAGTTATGAATTTCTCGATATTTAGTTCATTCATTGTGGATATTTAGTTCAATCATTGTGGATATTTAGTTCATTCATTGTAGATTTTTACTTCATTCATTCACTGTGGATTTTTACTTCATTCATTCGCTGTAGATATATAGTTATGAATTTGTGGATATATAGTTATGAATTTATGGATATATAAAAATGTTATTGCCGAGAATCGAACCTGATTTCTTTTTTAAGTGGGACGCGCGTTTTTTAACTAAAACGACGTCGTTTTGGATCGAATGCACCATGCGCATGGTGCATTCGGTTGCACAGCATAATTTGCGCAACCCTACCGGGTGCGGGTGCCCACTACGGATACCCACCACTTATAATCTTATTATTTTTTTTTCAAAAAATAATATTTAAATTACCTACACATAATAAAATAATAAAATTCATTAGTTATATAAAACATAAAATAATAGAAATATTTAAATATCATAACTAAATTGTTAATTTTTAAAAATAAACTTAGTAGTTTACATATAAAAATAGTAAAAATTTACATGAACTTATAAAAAAATTTATAAATAACTACATGGTGGGTCGGGTGGGGTTCTAGACGGGTTTTGTACATAGAACCCGACTCACCGCGGGTTTACTTTTTTAACACCTACTCCCGACCCACCACCCTCCACCAACCAAAAAAACCCGATCCATGCGGGGTGGATTCGGGTGGATATCCACGGGACGGATTGAAATTGCCATCCCTAATGTAAACCCAAAATATTTTGACTTTGAAATCAATCATCTTTGTTTAATATATGCAATTTATAATTCAAAATATTAATTATTGCTTAATTCCACTCTTAATCTTATAAGTACAGTTGCACTTAAATAATTAATTACATATTTGAACAAAAATCTTCCATTAAATTAAAATTTCATTAGGGCTAATTTTGTTATTAAAAAAAAAAAAGACTTAAAATTGTGAGAAAGCGATGAAGATGGGTGAGGCGTTACAATAAAAATTAGAACGATAACTCAAGGTGTGGATCAACAAGGATCTTAAGGTGGCCTACACTTGTGAAACAACATGCCTCATGGTATGTCCCTTGACGAGGATCTGTTAGAGGGTAAGTCGGGGGTACCAACTGTCATGATAATTTTATCTCAAATTACATATATTTAAGTTGTTGTGATTAAATAATGTACATTAGATTTGTAAGGATGTTTGAGCCTTTATCTCAATTCTCCCCAAATGGTCAAAGACCAATTTCAAAAAAGAGTGAAAGATTATCTACTTGAAATTGTAAGAAAGCTGATGGGGACCAATGATACACCATTGTTGAATAGGGATGTCAACGGGGCCGGCGTGGGACGGGAGTATACCCCCATCCCCATCTCCGCTCAGGATGAAAAATCTTTTTCTATTCTCATCGTCACGAGGAATTTTGGAGACAGAGAATCCACGTTGCCAATCAAATTATAATTAAAGTAGTTTTTTTTTTTTTTTTAAACCATACAAACTAGTACAATTAACACTATTTACGTAAAAAAACTTAAATATTAAAATTTTAATCATATAATAGTTAAATTTACATTAATTCTCAATAATAATCAAAATGTCAAATATATTATTTAAATAATTTTCATATAAAATATAACACATCTAATATCCAAATATAATACAACATATATACAACCTTCTTATTATTATTATTATTATTATTATTATTATTATTATTATTATTATTATTAAAAATCGGGGACGGGGCAGGGCGATTATTATTATATTTAAAAATTGGGGACGGTGTAGGGCGGGGAGGGGTATTCCCATCCCATCCTTGTTCCCGACAGGGAATTGAAAACATTCCCCATCCCTACCCCCATTCCCCGAATTTGCCCTCATTCCCATCACTATTGGAACGATGATCGGGATCTCCACCGAGAACGGAGAAAATTGACATCCCTACTTGTATTAAGTTGAAGGTAGAATAATCAACTTAAGGTGTGGATCAACAAGGATCTCAAGATGGCCAAAGCCCAAACCCTTAATACAGACAAATTATATCATGCACAGGGTGCATAATCGATTATGCACCGAACTTCAAAACGACATCGTTCTGTTTAATGAAAAGAAACGGCACCCGTTTCGCGTCATTCCGCAAAAAGTAACACTATTATTCAGTTTCATTTTGTATACACTACAGTTTCAGTTCAACACAACTACAATTTCATTTTGATATAACAATAGTTTCATTCGATATTTATACATCCAAATATGTGAAAATGATATTTAATTTTACTTTATATACATTATAGTTTCATTAATTGTGTGAAGCAACACGGCTCATGATGCGGTCCTTTAACGAGGATCCATGGGAGATAAGTTAGGTGCCAACAGGCAACAACCACGATTATTCCAACTGCAATAACATATATTTAAGTTGTTGTGATTGATTAGTATATGTTACACGTAGGGACTAGGGATATATATTTTTTAGTCTCATCTCAATTCTCCACGAAGTGCTAATCATCTTTTATTTAATCTATGTATGTGAACACATCCAAATCTCGTTCATGGCTGTGCACGCCGATACCATCTAGCTGGCAAGGGAAATGCTTCTCTGGCCATTGGCTAGAGAGCCACCCCTCCCCCATCTCTCTATGTATATCGTTTCATATAGGGACAGATCTTCTTGTGTGGTCGGTGCAGATTGCACCATTAAATATGTACTATACAGTGTTAAAAAATGCACTAGCTAGAATGAAATGTACAAATGCATCACAAAATGTACTACATATTAAAAAAAAATACCACACTTAGTGGTACATTTTTGAACACTTTAAGGTATATTTATGTGTACTTAATGGTGCGTAACCGTACATCTACACTGTCTGCACATGAATCTTACTCTATATATATATATATATATATATATATATATATATATATATATATATATATATATATATATATATATACTTGAATCCAAATGCATTATTAAAAAAAACAGTAAAAGAAACACACATATATATATGTGCTAGCTTAATTTGTTTGATCCATCACAGATGATTCTCGGAAAACCTTGACGGATTGATTGACTAAATCTCACTCGAAATTTAGAAGTCATTGAGAAATCTTGACTGAACAGAGGTAATGAAGACCTGAGTGTACAAACAAGGAGTGTGAACCTGGAGATCGACGGACAACGACTCACAATTTACCTCATTCAGTTTCTCGAATTCCGAATGCATGAATTAATTTGATCTAAGAGCATCCTTATCAGTTGTGGATATTAATGTTTTATTTTGATGGGTAGCACGAGTGAAGAATTCCTAAGTTTGCGGTAAACCACATGATGAGAGATGACGAGGAGGATGATGATGGAAATGAATAGACGGTTGAATTATTTGTACGTTCCAGTTGGTGGAAAGAAGTCCCATCCACCCATCCTTTCTTCATCAATCTCTCATCACCTCCCTTCACTGTTATATTTCACTTTCCGTTCATGTGATCTGATAGCATGGATTGTACCTCTGATTGTTTCCACTGTTCAATCCTTCTGTTCCTCAGTGTCGTGTCGCATCCAAATTATATGTATTCAATTCTCATATCTATTCTATCCCACACCACACTCCCACTCCCACTTATCTTTTTTTCACTTTTCTCTGCACCTTACCTCCTATTTTCCTCACAACCACAAACACCTTTTCTTTTTATCCTCAAACCCCAAAAATACATTTTTGGGAATTATTACAAATATAAAGTTGGAAAAAAATAGCATTTTTTTCATCTCAATGTTTATAAAAATTAGTAATTTTGCAACTCGGTCTATCTCCCATCAACAAAGACCAGTAAAACTTTGGTGTGCACTACTTAGAATCCGCTTTGTAATTAACCCTAGTTTCGTAGCTGTTCAGTTCAAATCAAAAAGTCCAATAAAATCATTCTCACTATAAGTCAAACTTGTAACCCTCATAACGCCTAACCCCCCAACAGCCTCGGGCTAATGGAACAATGTAGGCAAGAGAAGTCGACAAAATAGATCTGTAACTCAACTTAACCAACTCAGTTGGGATGGGATGGTCCTTATTAATTATTTTGCATACACGTGGGGTCGATTAGTTAATACAAGGGCAAAATAGTAATTTCCAACTCTAAACCATTAAAACCTTCCTTAATTTGGAACTCTAATCCCTTGTCAACAGTAATCAATGAATCATTAAAGCCTTTCATTTTTGTATTGCACGCGTAACATGTGTAGTATGTTAGTCAATAACTCAATATAAGGACACATTTATAATTTGCAATTCTAAATTATTAAATCAAAAAATTAAAATCTCTATTAACTGAAACCAAACCTGCCAAAACTGACACTTCTAATGAGAATAATCAAAACTATCCTGGGTAAAAAACCAGAGGATCAATAATGCTCACGAATATAATTAAAAGACTAAAATTACTATGTTATATAAATATAAAGACGAAAATTGCTATTTTTTCAACAAAGTTCTAACGCTACATTTGCTACAAGTAACACAGTTGGTGAGTAAGAAGGGAAGAAAAAAAAAAAAACCTCAAAAAAAACAAATGAACATAGACAACATTTATGTCACATCTTTATATAATTGATACGTGTCCAACGTTTTGATACTACAAAATTGTGACCAAAACAGATATATTAAACGCGTATCAATCATATAAAGATTCAAATATATATATATTCAATCCATAGGATAGATGAGACTAGCTAGGTTTTGGACTGGGAATGCAATTATATATGTGAATGATTAATAATGATGTGTTGTATGTGATGATTCTGATGAACAGTCGGACATTATTTGAGACTTCCGTGTTACCTGGGAGTGCCCATAACATGTGGTTTTATTACAATCCCCTCTGACCGGAATCGGATTTTCCGAGCGTTTGTATACTATTGTTGTTGTTATCTGTCGGGGTGGTGGTGGTCCAATCGTAGAAGTTGAAGGCGTCATCAATGGCGATTCCGGCGGCGGCGGCTTTCTTTTCTTGTCCGGACGGGAACCCTTGGGAGAACATGAGGTTTAGAGGGTCGGTGGATTCTATCTCTCCCAAATCGGCGAAGAAATCTTCCGGGTGGTGGTGGTGGTGGGTGGTGACGTCGTCGTCGTTGTCTCCCGCCGACGGCAGCGCGGGTTTGTAGCTCTGGGGGAACCCGCCCGGGAACTCGTCCATTTGCATGACGTGGTGGGGGTTGTCATCGCCGTCGCGGTCCTCCGCCGCTGTCGTGGTCTCCTCCTTCACCGGCGGGGTGTCGGACATTGTGTGGTGATCCGTTTGGGTGTCATTAGTGGTGGGCGGGGTTGGGGTTTGGGAAATGGAGGATTTGGTGGCGGCGGCGGCGGCGTTTTTGGCGGCTTGTGCTCGGGTAGAACCGGCGAGGGCGTTTCTCTGCGTCGGCCAGGGGTGGTTGTGCTCGGAAGTGTAGGTGATAACCAACATGTTTGGATCAGTCCGGCTACGTTCCACCTGTTTTCTTGCCGAGCAACCTTTTGAACTGCTGCATCTATAGTACCCCCTGCCATCATATAATCAAGCTAATTAGCCACTAAACAATATAGACTATCTCATAACTCATAAGTATATAATGGAATGACGTGTTCTGTCACAATTAAAAGTTTAAATGGTAATAAAATAAAGACTACGTGAACGGAAGTCTCAAAACACTAACAAGTTTAGCATGAAATGTAGTATGTTACTAGCCGCACACAAGTTTTTCTTAGGGTTAATCAAATTAAAGAATCATATATTACTACATCCTTTAACAACTAACTTTTTAAACCCTAATCACCATATGATAGTGTATACTGACGGGTAAACTCTGTTACCCTGTGATCCTAATGCCCGCAAAGGAGATTGGTCATAACTAACCATATATATGTAGTCAAATATACATATGACGTCTTTCAACCTAAATTAAAAGTCAATGTCAATCTGGTTACAATAAAAATTAATCTTTTTATTTCAAGAGTTTAATTTTCCTCCTTTTTTGACAAATTAGATGTTTAACTATGTTTGAATAGGATTTTCATTTTTAGCAACAACAATATCATAACTTTTATAATGCAATATCTGTTCATAACTACATTCTCAACCTACTGAAGCACAAAAGGTCAACGTCTTCACCTCCACCGAGACTCAAACCCACAATCTTCTATATAGGAGAGCAATTTGGTGTCACTAGACCACAATGTCCTTGGCAGTATCATAAAATGTTAATTAGTTTGGTTTTGTAATTCTAGTAACCGTTCATTTATCAAAGCTAGATAAATTAAATACAGCTGAAGGGTAATACTTTATGATGGATGTATGTATGATTGCCGCAAATATAGGACTTCAACATGCACTGGTGAAAACATGAGAACGTCTAATATATAAATATATGCATTATGTATTATGTATTATATATACATCAATTTCTCTTTTTTTTTTTTCAAAAACATTAATAATTCTTTACGAATAATATCTATTCTATACTTTTTCAAATCTTTTTCACCCTAAACACCCATATGCTATATATTCTGCCCTATAACTTTTTATGATGTAGTATATACCATGTCATGCTTCAAAAAAGTGCAACTATTACAAAATATATTTTTATCTTTTATGTTTTAGCAAAGCTTTTACGAGTGTCTAAGAGAAATCAGGGTAAACTTCACCTTATCATGTTAATTAGTAAAGGAGTACATATATAATAATAAAGTAAATCAACTTAAGTTGCCTAATCTATAGCTAAGGGGCTCAAACCAAGGAAACTAATAAGCCACTTCATTATGCTTGTAATTTTGTGATTAACCAATAAATCAATCCAATTGAAAGTCAAACTCTGGAAATTATACTCTCTTTAAAGTACATACTGTATGACGTGATATTATATACAATCTATCAATGTATGCAAGAAATGAAAGAATGATTAGATGAATATGTGCATGTAGAAATTTTAATTTTTGATTATTTTAATGTTTTGCATGTGGATTTCTCATCATAGCTATGAAAGTGAAACTCACCGGGGATAAGGGGAGCCTTTGATTGGCTTCTGGCCGTACTTCCTCCAAGCCCACAGATCAGACGGCACCACCTCCCCGCTGGGCCTGCTATTCGCCGGCGCCGGCGCCGGCACACACACCACCTTCTTCGCCTGACTCTTCCTGCACCCACCCCATGTATATATATACACATTAATTAGTTTCAGAACCACAAAACCCAACATTTATACAATAGAATTTTCACTTTTGAGCCGTGCAAAATGAGTTATCATGAAAGCGATGGATGGCTATTCCCTCAAACAACCTTCCCATCGATCTCCCATGAAAAGTTGTTCTTGTCTCATAACACCACCTTATGTATGTATATATACTATATAGTATGTGCATGAAAGCTCAGTCTGTGATTTCATATTTTCATCACTACCCATTAGTCCTTATAGTTCAATTAGTTTAATTTGTCCACAAATTTTTTTAACCCAAAAAAAAAAAACCTTAAAATTAACGAAAAACAATATCCATATGTTTTCATTCATTATAGGTGTTAGGTTGACTCGTGAAATGATTCCTTCAAAACCCTACGCTTTCATTAGAGAATATAGTAACCGTGACTATGATGATAACCATGATAATATTAATCTCTGTACCTTAGCTTGAGAATCCTATTCTTTTATCTATTGTCTCTCTCTCTCTCTTTTTTTTTGGAAAAGTTTTGGGTTTAATCGTGTTTGGCCTTAGATGGACTGAGAATTAATTGTCTGAAATTGATATGGGAATAATATTGTTAATTAGAAGGGGTAATTAATGATGGGTGTCTTAAAGTTTGTGAAATAATTTTTTAAAAAGGATTGCAGTTTTCTATGATCTGAGAATCTCATAAAATATGGAGAGTGAGATTTCAATCCATCAACGAAGTGGGATTAGTAGCGCTGACCTTCGTTTAATAGAGCCCGTATTTCGCGGAGATGAGATCTGCAGCCCCGCCGCGTTTCCGGAGGAGGATGCCGAGATTATGTTTTCGCTGCAAGCCAGTCCGCCGCCGGCCGCCGGAGGGTTGAGGTTTGAATTGGGGGAGATCTGGAGCATTCTGGAGAATATGTTGCAGGCTGGTGGTCTCTTCATTTCTTCGTCTAGAACGAGCTTCGGCGGGGGGAAGACGCTTGAACTAGTGCCGGTTTCCGGTGCCGCCGCCGCGGTGTCGACGAGATCGAGATCATTATCAGAGCAGGTGAAGAACGCGGCGGAGGGAGGCGGCGGCGGCGGCATGGCTAGCTCCTGGAACATCAACGGATCTCTCAAGTGACAAAACGGATCCCCGAAATCGTGGTGATCGGAGGAGGAGGAGTAGCAGTTCATCGCCGCCGCCATATTATCGCCGCTGCTACCCGGGTACTGCCACGTGTCGGGAACCGCCGGCGGGGAGGCTTCCTGGGCTGTGTTTCCGGCCAATCCGCTGCCCCGGACAATATCCGCTAAATCTCCCTGATAATTCTCCATGCCGTGCAGCTGAAACTGGCTGCACATACTCAATCAAACGACTTCTTCTTCGGGGAAATTGTTGTTTGGGGAGATTAAGAATAGAGTTGGGTATGTTTTGCACCGAACAGACGTAAAGAACATGCAGTCGTTTGTAGACTATATTTTGTTTTGTTTGGGTTGTATGTATATATGTATGTATTGATCGATTAGGCTATGGAAGACTTATGTGGAGAAGAAGAAGAAGAAGAAGGTGTGTTTTTCGTTGATAAGGAAACAAGCAAGATTCATTCAATGGAACCAATGTTTCTCCCCTCTCCAAAATGTAGAGAGAGAGAGAGAGAGAGGGTAGTGGGGTGGGGGTGGGGGTGGGGGTCGCTGACTTTTCATTTAAAAACCCCATTTCTATACGCAATGGATGAGAAAAAGAATTGGCTTTCAAACTTATGGTAAAAATAATAATAATGTAATATTATTAATAAATATGGGACTTTTTTTTGTTTAAAGGTAATTCTTCTTCAATTTGTAGGTACCACTTGCATGAAACTGATGGCTTAGGTTCAACTTTTCAATACCCAAATACTATTCTAGCTAGGAGCTCCACTGTACTTTGCATTAGCTACTTGTTGAATGGATTAGATTTTAAAACTAATAATAATTATTATTATAGTACCAAATACTACATTTACCTCATTTTATGTGTGGTTTTAATAATAGAGTTTCATTAAATTCATTTATATATAATTTATTTTTTTTAAAATAGTATTTAATTTAATGTTACTAACTAAAAACAGTTGATTAACATGAGAAGTTTTTAAAATGATATATAATTATTATAGGAGTCCAATTCAAGTGCCATCTGTGCACAAGGTGATTGGCTGATTCTTCAACTTAAATCATCATGAGATGAGTTATTGATCCAATTACTCAATCAAATGTCATATCTTGAATGACACATAATTATGTTCCTTCCGAATTATTTGATGGCACATTACACTATTTGATAACATCTCAATAAATAAAAAAATGATAAACATTAATGTTGAGCCAACTAAATTTCAAAACAAAGTTTTTATTATTGAATGCTTATTCAGTCTTATAAATCGAATGTATCCCAGAATTTTCAATATCGAACTCGATCTGGCGTAAAACTTTCTTGTTTTTTTTTTATTTATTTTTTTTTATTTATTTAACTTATTTTTATATGTGACCATGGAGGCATCATGCAACTGTTTATATTTCTATACTTCTGGATTTCTTGCTTCTGAAAATTTAATTTTTCACAGTTACCCACGTGCATTTATATAGTTACTTGGCCCCATAGTTTTCCAATTTCCAATTTCCAATTTCTATTAATTCCAATAATTAATTGGTTGAATTCAAATTTAACATTGACTTGACCCAAATGCCTCCTAGCTATTCAATTTTTTTTTATTTTTTATTAAAAAGATAAATGTATACTTAATGTGTAATACACTCGCTATTCATCTAAATTTTATAAGAAGAAAAAGATACTGATTAGTCTGAGTATGGAAGATATGAGCTTAAAAGTGTCTTACATAGTTAGGATCTACTCATAATACCTCGACAAAATTTTATATAGACCATAAAAAAGTACATTTTTAATATACTAAAAATACATTATTTGAGTACTGAAATCACATTATTCAGTACTAAAGTACAAAATAATGTACTTTCAGTACCCAAATAATCTATTTTTTTGTAAATACAAGGTACATTTTTAATATACTAAAAGTACATTTTTTGTATAATGAATGAGCATCATTTGATAATATACAAATTAATGCATTCTCAGTACTTAAATAATGTACTTTCAAATCATGTACTTTTGTAGTCTACACAGTTGTGTGAATCATGGTCCATGCAATAATGATTGTGACACCTCATAGTTTAACAAAAAACAAAAAAAAAAAAGAAAAAAAAAAAGACACTTGGTATATAACCACAAAGTCTGAAGTTTGACTCTATGTGAGGGCTGCTTATTATTCTTTTTTGTTTGAATCGGTCAACTATAGATAACTAAAATTGATTTTTTTTTCTTATTTTTCTTTGTTGATTGCAATCACAATACAAATTTCACTTAAATCACATATTCAGATAATAGTTATGGCATGTAATGAATCAAGTTAATTACCGATTTGGTCCTTCGACTATGAGGATTTCACCAATTTGGTTTTTGACTTTTAAAATTTTTCAATTTAGTCTCCGATTATGATTTTTTTTACCCGAAATGGTCATATCCGTTAGACATCCATTAACTCAGGACCAAATTGATAATTTCGCTATAGTCAAGGGATCATTTCAGTAATTAACTTTCGGAGAAAATGGTGTATGTGATGACCGAAATAGTTCCTTGACTATAACAAAATTACCAATTTGATCCCGAGTTAACAGATGTCTAACGGTTAGGACCATTTCGATTAAAAAAAAAAAAACATAATAAGAGACTAAATTGAGAAATTTTTAAAATCGAGAACCAGATTGGTGAAATTCTCATAGTCGATGGATCAAATCGGTAATTAACTCTAATGAATCAAAGAAATTAAAAGTCATAAAAAATTAAGACGTACTTTTTTGTTCCCCGATCATCATAAGCATATTACGGAAGTAAGAAATAAAATAAAAGTAAAAAGTGAAAAAAAAAAAATATGATTAGTAATATTACTGTTCACAAGTCTAAGAAATAGAAAGACGATTACCCTTTATCTGTTACTTTTTACTCTGTCCCTCCCGCCCCTCGCGGGGGTCTGGAAAAAGGAGAAAAGAATTTTAAAATAAAAAATTGTCAAACTCCATTCTCCAGTGAATCCAGTCACCAAAGTTGTTTCAAGGTGGTGGACAAGTCATTTTTTAAAATATATATGTGATAAAAATAAAAAAAATAATAAAAAAAAGAGGTGGCAAGTAGCCGCATTTCTCGGAGGGTACACTACCAAACCTACCCCTCCAACGCATGCTCTTTTCTATATATATCAACAAATAAAAAAATTACATAAATATTTCCATGATGCATAATGATTAGAGTACTACTATGAACTCTTAAATTTTACTTAATAATCTAACAAATTCTGATAAATTACTTTTTTCCATGTGAGTCTCAATACAACGGTCTACATTAATTTTTTTTGTTTTTTGTTTTTTTTGTATAAGAGTAAATATTAATAGTAAAAAATGAGAGCACACATAGTATTTTTTTTTTAATTATTATGAGATTATCTTGTATGAAATACTCTCATATTAAAAATGAGTCTTATTATTATACAATTATATTTACAATTAAGTTTTGCTATATAGGCCAACAATTAAGTTTTGCTATATAGGCCATGTTTGGTAATTAATGACAGATCTATCATTTTGGTGTTTTGACTCCAAAAATATATTTGGTAACTCAGCGATTTGGAGCAGGGTAGAAAAAATTTCTATACTTAAAAATAAACACACTTATAACACAGAGACTAAATCTATATAACATGCATTGCATGTATAATTTAAAGAACGAACAATTATAACTTAAAGATGGAATATGTCATTTCTCCAAAAAGGAAAAAGCTCATTCACATTACAAACTAACAAAGCCTAGCGGCCCTAGCTAACAACAATGCCCAAAAATACTATACCACTTCATGGATAATGCAAGAGCAAAAGATAGACATGCTTATAACTCAAGAATTGAGTATATACCATATGTATGTCTTCAAAGTCCAAAATATTATTTTCCCATATCTATTATGATTGTGATTATAATAATAATAATAATAATAATAATAATAATTATTATTATTATTATTATTATTATTATTATTCATTTATGGGCATGATAGAAATTTTCATAATTAGTGTATATATTGTGGAATAGAACCAACAAGCACTTGAAGTGACTAGCTGCCCTTAGCTTTAATTTGTATATAGAATGGAGGGATTTGACTTTGATGTTGTGATTTACCGTACGTCACTAAGAGTGGCTACTCATTCTTAAACCCTTACATCCAACACACATTATGCACACATGTTTCTAATTTTCCACTTCACTAATAATAACCTTTTGAATGCATAAAATAAAGAGCTTAAGACTCAATCTAGTTTCACTCCGAGTAATTAATGGGCTCGATCAAATCTCAATCATTATTGTATGGACCATGGTCCACACAAGTTGTGTAGACCATATTTTGTCTACTATAAAATAATGTACATTTAATATAAAAATAATGTACATTCAGTACAAAACTAATGTATATTGTATACAGGGGATATACATTATTTTTGTTCTGAGTGTACATTATATTATATAATGTACATTCAGTACAAAAATAATGTACATTTAGTATATTAGAAATGTACTTTTTGTTATGGTCCACATAACATTATGTGGACCATGGTCCATACAATAATTTGCCATCAAATCTTCACTCCGAGTAATTAATGGGCTCGATCAAATAAGGGTGCGTAATGAGTAAATTACATATTGTGACCTTAGTCGACAAAAATCACAAGGAGGTAAATTAGTCTAGGTTGTTAATAATGGACAGACTCAAATCAAGAATGTCTAGGTTGTCAATAACGGACAGACTCAAACCAAGAATGTCAATAAATCATTTTAATTAAAAGTCAAATTTAGAACCTTGTAGTTATCAAGTCAACAGTTTGATCAATTTGACTGGAGTTGTACCCTAATAAACAAGTTAGTATCTGTTCATAACTACTTTCTGAACCTACTAATTAAAGTACTAAAGTACTAAGAGTCAATATCGTCTCCACTGGAAATTGAACCCATGACTTCCTATTTGGGAGAGCGACTTCGTGCCAATACTAAATCTTTATTTTGATGTTTAATTTAATAAAAGAGTTTTTATTCAGAAAAACTAATTAGCTTTTAAAAAGTTAAGTAAATGAACTTTTTGTAATGAAGTTTGATTATTATTATAATTATTAATGAAGAATTTTGGAAGCCCCACCAGTGTCTACTTACATTCCTACCACTAAATGTCGTGGCTATTATACTCCTCCAACAGCATTTTGTCTTTTAATTTGATGTGTGAGCCAACTTGACCCAGCTACCTAGCTTTTGATTATTGTTATTATTATTATAACTACAATTAAAATACATATTTAATTAGTCATGATCAATGACTAATTATCTTTTCTTTTAAATTCTAGGTCACATTTATAACATTCGACTACAAAATCATCGACAATTCTCATCTTTTTTTTTTTTTTTTTTTTTTTTCAATTGAAAGTTGAATTTGTTAAATTTCTCATTGATAGATATATTGGAGTCATCCCAAAAATTTTAAACCCAAGAAACTAAAAGTTCAAGACAATGATGTCGATCCCTGGG